TTTTTTCATGTGCAGGATTTTGATGTAGGTAACAATGGCCAAATCCTGCTCCTTTTTAAGTAGCCGAGCTGCTTTCAATGGGACTGCTCATGAAAGTTGAGCAAATAGGATTTGGCACAATATTTTTCACAGTCAAATAAAACAAATCAATTTCAATATTCAACAAAGCAGCTATTGGTTAGTGAAATGTATGTAAATTTTCCATAGTACATAGCATGGCCTTTATTTTTCTAACAGATATTTCTGCTTAGAGTCAAATACTTTTTATACAGATTACAAAAATAAATACTTGTATTTTACTAAGATCATAACAGCTCATTAGAAGAGGCTGTATTTGGACCTAGACTAAAACCTAACACCACAGGGCTGAGCATGCTTACTTGAACCTATAATGTTGCTAGTTCTCTCTCTCTAGGGAAGGAGAGGACTAGGGGAGAGGATTCAGCCTTCTTAATTGTGAACCTCATTAGTGATGGTTGCTAGGCAAAACACACACCTACCTTCAGTGCATATGAAAGAGATAAACAATACGTCATAGACTATAATGACTCTTGTGCTCAGGGCGACCTTTAATTATTATATTTTTGTTCTTATACCTTAGTTATTAATGCAGAAAAACAAATTAGTTTTTTTTCTGTGGACCACAGCAGATTCGTAAGTTGTTTTCCATTTTTTGATGTCTAAATCATATTTCATTTTGATAATCATTGCCTATTTCATTCATTTTTCCATGTATGCATCTGTATGTATTATGTGGCACATAAACATAAAACAAGGACACTTATATTAGTGGCTTCGCATTATCAGTTGTTACTTTAATGGTTGAATTTTATTGCTGGAGAGGGCATGATCCTGCCAAACTATTAATATATCTGTGACTACCCACATGAGTAGGCCCATTTTAATCAGTGTGTTTTCAGGATCACTTGTTTAGATTGTAATTTAAAGAAAGCAATTTTTTTTAAGTTTTGCTCTTGAAGCAATTCAAAAGATATTTGATCATTAGGTGTTTTATATGTTAGAAAGGTCCACTAACTAATAGTCATTATATATGTTTATGTGAATGGGTGTATTGTGTATATAAAGTGACATCTGAATTTATATAGATCTGTTGTTTGTCTACTTCAGATGTGTGTGTGCGTGCACACATGCGCATGTCAGGCTGATGGGCTGCAATAATGTTGTAGTTCAGAATTTGGGGTTTTCAGGGATACCTTCCACTGTTCTTTTCATCACAAACTACCTTTTTTAGCAGATCAGGCAAAAAGTCAATCATATTGAATCAGCTTGAAGAAAAACATTTTATGCTGTTTTTCTCATACCAAAAAAAACCCCTTCTGCTTTAATCTGTAGCAGTAGGGCCCAGCAACAGGAAATTGACCTCACAGTAAATTCTTAACAGATTTGGTCATGTTTTTACCATCCATTTAAACTTGCATACATAACCTGAGAATGTACCTCTGGATCAAGGATTATGACAAGCCAAAATAAAATCAAATAAAATTAAACAGCAAGAAAAAGCTGCAAGAAAAACAAGGCTTTTAAACAAAACAAAAAAAAAAAGAGAAGGAATGAAAAATTGGTTGTGACTGCAAAACTGTAAGTATCAAATAAAGTAACGCAAATCAGAAGCAAATACAGGAGAGGCTGTATTCTGTTTGATATGGAGTCAGAAATACTAATGGTCTGTTTTTAATGGTCTGTTTGATCAATGAGAAGAGAAAAGAAATGTAAAAGTAAAATGTAGTAGTGTATAAACATAAAATATGGTGCAAAGAAGCATTGCAAATAAAAAGACATGTAAATGTGTGCCTACCATTTTCCAGATAAGAAGGGGCCGTACCTTCTGAGGGGTCAAGGCGGCGAGCCCGCCTTCCATGTTTGGAATTGTTGTGTACAAACATGTTGTCTGAGACAGCCAGAACGTGGCCATCCACATTGACTGTTGTTGATACAACAACCTGAAAAAAGAAAACAAATGCATTTAAAAAAACCTGCATATTTTTAGTAATGTAAAAGTTATGAAACAAGACTCATTTTAAGACAAAGTGACTCCACAGTCTGTTCCTTCCTGCTTTAAGTAGATTTATTCATAGTTGTCATTTACTTTTTTGGCTAACACTGGTGATTTTTAACTCACAATTGTTTCTCTTCAAAACCTGATACACTAATTAGAGTTTAATCTCCTATTATGCTAACAAATGAATTCAATTCAGGGAAATATTCTTCTAGCCATTAGTTTCAGAAACACCCCTCTAGCCACTCATTTTAAAAGCTGCTGTTTTGATTGATCTGTTGATATATTGATTAGATAGTTTATCTAATTAAAATTTGTTCACTTGAGACTCTCTTCAAATGAAGGGTTGTGAGGATTCCAAATAAAAAAAAAGCTTAATAAATCAGAAACCATCCTAACTCCCATTTTCTCTTCAGTAAATGATCTCCAGGTCAGTTTTACAATTACATTTAATGTCTGATAATGAACTTTTTTGCATCTGAAAAGACTGAGTTGAATATGAATAGTGAAAGTGTTTTCAATCCATGAAAAGTATCCCTTCTCAAGTTCATTTGGATGGTGATTGACCCTGGTATGTCAATGGAATTTCCTCCTTTATTTTTGAGTGAAAGGCTCCTATTCTTGTGTCCAGGTTCAGAGTCCGGCCATAGAAGAGATGATGGATAGGGCCTTCTTTGGCTTCCAGCTGCTTCTTAGTAGAACTTGGAAAAGGAACATATGCAAAATGCACAACCTTCATGACAAAAACACCTACACAATAGATTTGTGAAATTCATCACAGAAATGATATTCCATAACATATGGGCAAAAGAGGAAATTATACAGGCTTTGTCTGAGGATTTGTGTGTGTATGTATGTGAGAGATGTGGTGGTGTAGACCGATTTTATTACCATAACTAGTTTGAATGGCTCAGATATAAGCTTAAATTTAATTTAACTCCTCCATCATGGTCACTGTGGGTTGGGTTCCAGCTTGTTTGAATAAAATAATCACTGTGGTATTTTCTTTGTAATTTAAGATTAGGCAAGTTCTTTAAAGCAGAGCTATGTCATTAGGCCTCATACTATCCTAGTAGGGATGGTAGTAAAAGCTGCTGCACAAATACGTCAGGCTTCTCTCTTCTGTTCAGTTTGGTTTAGATACAGAAATTAAGTGAGAAATGAAGTCCAGAATACTTACACCAATGCATATACCCAAATGTATAAAAAATGAAAAGAACTACACAGCAACTCATTCCCCTTTTGAATATAGTGGGTCCAAAGCACTTAATGAAAATTGCTGCCTAGTTCTGTTTTGGATCACATCTGATCCTGCTTTTTATTCACGTACCATAATTAGCTCTCAGCTATCACAGCACCTTCCTCTGTATATTCTGTCTCCTCTGAGACAGCCATCTATGTCACCCTTTGGAGCAGCCTGAGGGCAGTTCTCTAGAAGTGTGCTATGCTTTTGTATATACTCTCCTCACAGAGACGGACAGTATTACTTCCCTCAACATCCATTGTGGGGAGTCCTGACCTTGCACCTAATCTCTGGTATCCCATTTTGCCGTCCTATTGCTCTGCCACTGGACTAGCCACTTTTCACTCTTAATGAGCTATGGGTGACTTAAAGAAATAACCTGTGGACTACACAAAGCAGACAAAATGTGATTCTCAGCAAAGAATACTTTTTTTTAGGCTCCTAGGCCAAGATATATTAAAAAGACAGGGGAAGTATATATAAGAAAAGACAACTATCTTTGCTCTGTCATCTATATATAGGTCAGTCACCAAGGGAAAATAGTGTAGTTCAGCAAAAGAAAGTAGGCACACTATGTTTTGTTTTATTGGCTCATTCCTGTATTCTACCTAAAGAAAGGTGCTGAGATAGTGAAACCAGTTGAAAGTATTGTTCAAGACCTGACATACTGTTAAGTCCAGTTAAACCTTCTGAGAGGCAGGGAGATTAGCTAAAGAGACCCAGGGAAGTCTTTCTAGTGACTACTGGCTCCATTGTCGGCCACAAGATCACTCATGACTGATGCTTCATTTAGTCATCGGTGAGACAAAGAGGACATTTCCACTCATTCCAGGTTTGACCTTCTGCTCTGTTCAGATGGATCAATATCACCAATGCCACGTGAAGCTGAGATGCATGAAAAATGGAAGCTTGGCTGAATTGTTTTGAAGAAATATTTTTTCCAGCTACAGATCTTTACTGTTGTCTGGTTCAAGAGTTCTCGCTTCCCTGGTTGGTTGGCTGTGCATGAAAACAGATGTCACATGCTTTGCTATAAAAGTTTAACCACAAGTTAATCTTCTCAGAAAAAGTTTTGAACATATCAATATCTAGGCTATTATTAGTCCCAAAATGGATCATTTTGAAAATAATTTGAAGTAAAAAGCATGTATTTCTTAATAACCATTTCCAGTCAGCCAAAATTTGGAGGAAATTATTTGCAGCCACTGTCCATTCAGTCAGGTGCCCCTCTGCAGTAGTTATGATTCAGCACGGGATATTTCAATAGCTGTAAGGAGAAAGTTAAGTATTAAACAGGTCCCTTCCCCCCACCCCCCACCCCAAACCCCCAAAACAATTGGAACAAATGTGTGGTTTGCATCACAGCTCTTAGACTTACCAGAATGTGAATGTGAAACCTATGATGCATGATCCAACATTCATTGACTTCCATGGGTGCTTTTCTAATGTCTAATAGTAAGCCCAAGCTATGCAGCATACTTATGTAAAAACTCCTCCACAGGTCTTAATAACTAACTCAGTGGAAGAATTTAATCTAAGGAAAAGCTACAAAAGTATTTTCTGTGGAGAGTCTCACTTATTTTCTGAACAATCCACAACCCACTTGTATACTTGACTAATCCTAAAAATGTGCATTGAAAACAGGCAAATATTTTTTTTAAATCTTTATATATATATTTTAGAAGTCCATACTTCTGAAACTAACTCTACTAAATACAATTGAAAAGAGGTGTCAGAAAAGTTAAAGCTAAGTGGTGTGGATTTCATGAATGAATCTTGAATATATTCTTAGTTCTTGTATAAAGAATCTCTCTACCTGGAATCTTCGCATATCTCGTGGATTGCCCGCATTCTTCAAACAGTTCTGATTGCACTTGAGGAAAAACTTTAGAAAGAATCTATAAAAATATAAAATTGTCACTTGTTAGGGATGTAAACATACAGACACAATTTAAAGAAAACTTTTAATAAATCCTTCATAAATAATTAAACTTTACAAAATGCTGAGAAGTAGATCCTAATTTTTGGGTGGGTTGTTTTTTTTACTGCTTACTATACTGGTCTTTGAGTGTTTAAAAAAAAAAAAGATCACTATTGTAAACAGTAGTGTATCCGTGGCAATAGGCATATATCTTTACATTTTAAACAACGAGCATGTTTTGACTTTGGGCCAGATCCTAAGCTGCTATAAATTAGTGTTCGTGATTCATTGACTTCAAAGGATGATGATTTACACCAGCTAAAGATCTGGCCCTTTATTTTTTCTGAACATGGCGTATGCTATCATCTTATATTATCAGTAATGACCTCCATGTCAGAATTTTTCTGGTAATTAACGATCAGCCTGGTTAAGGACTCTTGGCTTTTCCTCTGGTTCAGAACTACTCCAGCTTTTTGAAAGGGGCAAGATCCACCTTCCATCAACTTCCATGGGATTTTCACTAGGACGTAACTGCCAGGAAGAGACCTCCCTGCTGGTCATTACCGTCTGGGTAGAATGGAACACTGAGAATTAAATCTTGCTTCTCAACCAGACGCCACGTCAGCTTATCACTCTAAAACAAGTAACCCTGCCCAGGGCAATATGTAGTCCAACTTCTAATTTTTCAGCATGCTGAAAGGGATAAACTCTCATTTAGCCACCTCCCTGCATTAAGGGTTCTTGCAGTTCCACTGCCACTGGAAAATTGGAGGGCAAATGTCTCATGGCACAATAGTTGTATGGAAGGGTCAAATGGCTACATGGCCTTACCCTCAGTGCGGCATAGCCCCAAACCAACCCACAAGTAGGGAGGCAAAGTAATGGCTCCATCTACTTCTCTTCCTTCCTCCCTTTCAGCAAGTTGCTATGAGAAGTGAGAAACAACTGAGTAGCTGTGGAAGATGCAGGTGAGGCCCTTTGCTCAGTTCCCAGTAAAGGTAACATAAGAGCTAGTCACAACCTAACCCCTACTATTTTCTTTATGTTGTTATAATTTCATGGTATATAATAGGAAAAATTATCTGTGGGTCTGGTATTTTCAAGAGCTAATCATTAATCACCAAGTTCAGAGCTCTCCTTTTACCTGTGGTCCCTCAGATGACTATGCCCACTAGATGACATTGCCCCAATAATAACATATTTAGTATTGAGGTTAGTCAGATCTTTAGGGTTTCATATTAAGAATGCTAACAAATACACTGTTTCAGTTTGCAAATGCTGATTTATAAACCTCCACCACCATAGCCTCTGAATACTTTTTACATAAAGGTTCATGTGCAAATAATAACCCTGGTAAAAGTTTAGCAATCCACTCTCTCCTCTTTCAGAATGCAGAATAGTCAGACTCCAGTTGATACAACCTGTGCCTGAAAATGTACCACACTGTCTTCTCATATGTGAAACCCTGGGCTGAGGAAGTCCCTGGATAGTAGCATGCCACGAAGCATGCAGGTAGGTTCTGCAGACCTAATGCTGCAGTCATTAGAACTCTCCTTTGAGTTACTCCTGAACAAAAATCCAAACACATTGTTAGCATGCACTGTACTAAAGCTGCTGTTCCTTAGATGAAACATAAGCAGGGTAAATTGTAGTGCTGGTTAACAGATTTAAAAAATGAAATGCTGACATTAATAGGAATTTATTTTTTTTTTTTGCAGATTTCACCCCTGCCTCATTTCCTAGCCACTCTAACACTGAACATTTGCACTTAGTAAAGATTTTGTGGTCCTGAAGAAGGAATGTTAAGCATGGATTCCTGGCCAAATTTCAGCTAGTGTAATCCACTTGTGCCAAAAAATCTCCTAACTTGAATTATGGTATTTTTCCACACTTTTATGTAACGAAGCTCTGAGAACAACGGCTATTTTTTCAGGCAAGTGGTAAATGCATGTTATTGGCGATTCATATGATCTTTATGGCTTAGAGTCTGATCTGAAGTCAATATTTTTGGAAGAGGTGAGGGCTACAATTCCCAGATGCTAATGTTGGCTACATATTAGCCATAGCCCCATTCCCAATTGCCCCAGCAGCTACAATTCCCAGATACTAAAGTTGGCTGCATGTTAGCTATACTGCCATTCCTATCCCATCCCAATTTATATCAGCCTCAGGGTTATTCTAAAGCGTACTGGCTGCCTATGGCTCCCAGGGGCCCGTACACCAGCTGAGAATACTCAAACTGCAACGGTGTTCTGGACATTTTCCCCGTTTCCTTATCCTAAGTCTATGGGCTGCAGTAGCATGGCAGAGTATTCAGTGAAACTGGCTCCACACCAACTGGGGTCCTCTCCACACCGGGAAAATCAGTAGGTAAAGAAATCCCTCAGTTTTGCAGCTCCTTTGTGTGAGAGAGGAGTCAATGTTAAGAAGAGAATCTTTCTTCTATCTGTTTTCCTAACTCAAATGGGTGTTGTGAGTCTTAACTGAGTTAATGTTTGCAAATTGCTCTGAAATCCCCTCTGCTGAATGGTGTTCCAGAAGTGCAAAATGTTATTGTAATACATGGATATTTTACCTTGAACAGTATGAACTGTTTCTGTGAGGAGACCCCTTCTATGTATATCTAAGGAAGGGATATTAAGCTTACTTGCATGGTACTACAGAGCAAATTAATGTGATATTTATTCAGTGGTTTGAGTAGAAATTCAAGCTTCTGTGACCCACACATTCAAGTCCATCATAATGAACATGAACACTGAGCTAAATTGAAATGAAAAAGCATTGGGTGCAAGTAGCCAATGTTTGTAACACAAACACCATTTTGTGCCTGCTCTTCAAGAGCGCTGGGTGCTTAGGTGTCAAAGACAAAAGTTTCAGGGGAAAGGGATAGCAGGACAAGGAGGGGAAAAACAGTTGTTCCCAAGGAGGGCATTCTCATAGCTCACTGGAGAGAAGACTTAAAGGGACTTCTTCTCCTCACCTTGCCAAAGAGTCCTGCATCCTAGGAACCAGGTCCCAAAGCAGAGAAGATAGGACTGGTTGCTTTCCTGTAGAAGAGTCCCATATTCTTAGGGCTCCCACCTTGGAGTCCAGAAGAGTGGAGAAAACTAGATTTGGATTCACATTTAGATGGTTTTCCAAACATTACTGCTATCATCAGAACAAGAACACAGATCTCTCCAGGTTTACCTGTATGTGCTTTGTATTCTGTATTTTATGTAACCCATCTATACAAAGTTAGTCTTTAGAATGCACTAAATCTTACGAAATATCCTTCTTGAATACCCTAAACTGGAAACTGCTCCTCAAATATACTGCTATGGGAGAAAATATAGTTTTTCCTAGTGGCTTTCCCTTCCTCTGATTTTCTTTCCAGTGCTAAAGAAAGATCTGATACCCTCTTAATTAAAATGTATTATCTACCACAAGGCTTCACTATTTTAAGATAAAATTTACATCTTTTATTAACTCACCTCACCTATACACTTAGCTCACAATGCCTCTTAACGCCCATCTGCCATCAGCATACAGTAAGTCACTTGATATTCCACCCACCAATTTTTCCTAACAACCACTGTGCAATTAAACTCAACACGTTCTGTTGCGAGGTAAATTAGGCACACCTGCGGCCAGGCTGCATTTGAACTGCATCAGAAAAGGACCTAACAAGGTGAGAGCGTACCACAAAGTTATAGTCCTGTCAAGCAATTAGGTTTTCACTTCTGGGACATCCGCGCAGTGCAATTATGCTACACATTACAACCTGGCTAATCTTCTGAACAAATGTCATGTCTCAGAGAAGCTAGTAAAAGCAGTTCATCTGCAAATGTGTCTGCTCTTAAGCCTCCACCTTATGCACATAACAATCTACAAAAGCTTTTTTTGTGATATGAAATATTTTTTTTCCATAGGAGATTTTTAAAACCATAAAAGTGTCTTTTCAGCCATTTCACCTTTTTTAACCTCTTTGAGAATAGGTGTCGTAGAAAATTTACTAGTTTGATTTCTGTACTTGAATTTTAACAATGAGTGAGCCAGCACGTACTGGACACTGCAATCACTATTGGTAGCTTTTATCCAGTTTATTTCAACCATTTTCTTCCCTGAAAGTCATGTAGGAAAGGCTGGAATGTTGGAAAGCCGCATGACTATTGCATCTCAACAGCTTTAAAAAAGTACGTGTACGGCAAGTCGTAAGATCCCCAACATGGGAGCCCAGTTCATGCAAGTAATCTTCAAGGAGCTTTCATTTTAAATATTTGTATTTAAAATATTGGGAATGACTGTTTGATAAACAAGACAGCAGTGAGAGTTTAAAAGCAATCTTGTCACAAGTATGTTAAGCAATTACAGTGCCATCTTAAATAACCTCAATTCCTTTAATAAAATAAGATCTTCCTAACATAAGACTTGTAAAGGGTGGAGGAGAGACTGCTTACTGTGTGGTGTTGGCTCAGTTTTGTTTCACTCCAACAGTTTTGTTTCACTTTTTATCTCCATTTCAGGTAAGCATTTAGAGTGTTCAATTAAGCCAACAGATAATATGTTACTATTCTACAGAATACATTACTATGAAAATGTCCAAATTCTGCTCTACTCTTATGAGTAAAAATAGCAGTATTTGGCTCATTATCTACAATTCTGCAGTAAGAAAATGTAGCTCTTTGGAACAGAAGCTGTCCACAGAGGCATAAAGCTATTATTGGGGAGAAGGCAAGAGAAGCAGGGGGAAAGCAAAGACATTTGAAGTCAAATGGTAATTCTCATCCTTTACTCTATTACCCTTTAATTGGCTTTTTCTTAAGAAGTATCTGACAAGCACTTTGCATATCTCTTTTCTAGAGTCTAGTAAACAAAGGATTTAATACTCTTGTTACGAAAGGAAAAATCTTTCCTATGTCAGAAAATCTTTGGCTTTAGCACCAATAAACTCTTTATTACTGCTAAACTTGGATTTGCTGCTCAATCGCAAAGAGG